AATGGAAAATGTCCATGATTTCGTAACTACGAGCTGAATACTAAATAGACAGCTGCCATCCTTAAATTTCTAATTCACAACAGAACGATCAGCCCAAGAAGATAGTCACTGATAGGGTCTCACTGTTTTATACCAGGCACATTAAATAGCACTGTATCTTCAGAGGCAAACCTCTTAGATGCAAGTAACCAGATATTCTGACTGTCACAATGCTAAATGACCAGTGTGACTGAACTGTTCAAATGTCAATCACCAGGCCTGTTGGGAAGATGTGGCATTTATCAGATTTTTTATTTGAAGTCAGAGAACTGACAGAGCTTTGTTTTCATGTATATTGAGGTTTTGAGAAGGGCATATATTAGGTTTGTGGAGTTATTTAGGGATGAGGTAAAAAACCGTATATATATGGTCAGAACAAATAATCATCAATAACTGGGGAAAAAATTCCAAAGTGAGCATTTTCGGATCTGGTTGGCTTTGAATATTGCACAATCCAGTGAAGGTTTGATTAAATGGACAAGAGTGAATAGCAATGTCTTTAAAGAACAGTTTAAATGAACAAGAGTGAATAGCAATGTCTTTAAAGAACAGTGGAGAGCAATGTAAGAGAAAATATATTCTATCCCATAGCTAATAAAAGTTATGTAAGGTGTGGTTAAGGAAATGTGATATGAACTTAAGAGAGGTATATGATGACCACTTCAGGGTGTTCTAAATAGAGACAGATGATGTCTTGTGTGTGTGAAGAGAGAAATGACCCTTCCACAACTCCCCTCTATCCTACACATGATTCTTCTGTAGTAGGTCTGATAACCCAAATCCCTTACATTTGCCCAATGCGTTGCATATTTGTTGAAAAGAGAATGTATAATTGCAAATATCAATCCAAGTTAATATTTCCCTCCCAACTAGCCCATGAGTTAGGTGCTTATATTTTCCCCTTCTCACAGATGGGGTAATAGAAGCATGTAGAGGTTAAATAACTTCATTCATTCAGTAGTTACTTATTGATTTCACCACATACTTACTGAACCCTTACTGAGCATAGACACTGTACCAGGTGGTAGAGAAACGAGAAGAGTGTGACTCAGTCTCCACCTTCAATGCATCTTGGAATGGTAGAGAAGACAGACTTCTAAAGGAGAACTCACAATAGAAAGCAGTAATTAGAGTGATGAAACCGTGTATAAAAATTCCTGCCTCTGGCATTGCTTTTCCATGTGTTGTTCTGTTTCAGGCCAGGCCATGTGTTACCTCATTCATCCCAACACCAACCCTATGGGGTATTCATTCTTTCAGCTAATGCCCACTGAGTGTCAGTCCTGGGAAAACAGTGCCAACTGGTGTAAGATTAGATTCCAGTTAGGGAGACAGACATTTATCAAGTATATCACAAAAATACCAAAGTGATGGTACAACTATAGTGAGTGCAACCAAAACAATGTGACAAAAGCTAGAGGAGTGCATGGTGGGGGGATTCAACCTCATCAGGGAAGCCAGTGAAAGCCTCTCTGCGTAATGATTCATAGGAAGGTCTAGGTGAGATAGGGAAAGTATTCCAGCAAGAGAGGGCAGGATGGTGCATGGAGAATTGGAAAGCAAGTCAGGGGAGTATAGTGTGATGTGTGCAAGGAGAGGTCAGTTCCTTCCTTACAAGCCATGTGGGGAGGGACGGAGGGCATCCTCACCATGGTGCTGAGGAGCCACTGAGTGTGTAGCAGCTGACGGGTCATGGCACTGATTGGTATTTCTTCTTCTTTTTTTTTTCTTGTTTTGAGATGGAGTCTCACTCTGTCACCAGGCTGGAGTGCAGTGGCGTGATCTCGGCTCACTGCAACCTCCGCCTCCTGGGTTCAAGCGATTTCTTGTTCCTCAGCCTCTAGAGTAGCTGGGACTACAGGCGCACACCACCACACCCAGCTAATTTTTGTATTTTTAGTAGAGATGGGGTTTCACCATGTTGGCCAGGATAGTCTCGATCTCCTGACCTCATGATCCACCTGCCTCAGCCTCCGAAAGTGCTGGGATTACAGGCGTGAGCCACCGCACCCAGCCTTCTTTTTTTTTTTTTTTTTAATAACCTTTTTTGGGTATATTTGAGGGTCACAATATAATATGGGATATGTATTGATAGTAAAACGGTTACTACAGTGAAATAAATTAACATATATCATCTCACATGGTTGCTTTTTTCTGTGAAAAGAGCAGCTAAAATCTACTTATTTAACAAAAATCCATAATACACTATTTTATTAACTATAGTCTTCATGTTGTACATTAAATATCTAGACTCATTGATCCTGTATATCTGCTTTTTTGTATTCTTTGACCTTCCTCTCCTCATTTCCTCTCTCCTGCCCCCAACCTCAGTAACCACTGTCTTATTCTCTATGTATTTGACCTTTTTTCTCTTTTTTTTTCTTATGATTCCACATATACGTGAGATCATGATGCAATATTTTTCTGTCAGTGTCAGCATCTTTCACTTGCCATAATCTCCTCCAGGTCCATCTATGTGTTGCAAAAAGCAGAATTTCCTTTTTTTTTTTTTTTTTTTTTCTGAGATAGAGTCTTGCTGTTGTCTCCCAAGCTAGAGTACAGGGCACAATCTTGGCTCACTGCAACCTCCGCCTCCCAGGTTCAAGTGATTCTCCTGCCTCAGCCTCCCAAGTAGCTGGGATTACAGGTGCCCACCACCGCGCCCAGCTAATTTTTTGTATTCTTCTTTAGTAGAGGCAGGGTTTCACTGTGTTGGCCAGAGTGGTCTCAAACTCCTGACCTTGTGATCCACCTGCCTTGGCCTCTCAAACTACTGGGATTACAGGCATGAGCCACCATGCCTGGCCTTTCTTGTGTTTTTAATGATAGTCATCCTAACATGTGTGAGGTGATATCTCATGGTGGTCTTCATTTGCATTTTTCCAATGATTATGATGTTGAGAATATCTTTTCATATACCTGTTGATTGCTTTTATGTCTTCTTTGAAAAAATATCCGTCAGGACCTTTCCCTATTTTTTAATTAGGTTATTTTTTTTTTTCTGCTATTGAGTTGTAAGAGTTCTGTACAAATTTTGGATATTATTAAATATCCAAATGGACTAAATGAATCAATTTGGGATACATTTGCACCAATCATTAATAACTCCTTATCAGATATGAATTATGAAAATATTTTTTCCAAATCTGTAGGTTGCCTTTTTACTTTGTTGATTGTTTTCTTTGCTGTGCAGAGCTTGTTAGTTTGATATAGTCCCATTTATTTATTTTTGCTTTGGTGGCCTGGGCTTTTGGTGCAATATCAAAAAAAGTATTGCCAGAGCCAATGAGCTTCTCCCCGATATTCTCTTCTAAGACTTTAATGGTTTCAGGTCTTACAGTTAGGTCTTGAGTCCATTTTGAGTTGGTTTATGTGTATGGTGTAATAAAAGGGTTTAATTCCATTCCTTTGCAATGGAAATCCAGTTTTTCCAGCAGCATTTATTGAAAAGGCTATCATTTCCCCATTGTGTCCGCTTAATGTCCTGGTCAAAAATTAGTTGACCATATATGTTTGGATTTATTTCTGTGCTCTCTATTCTGATCCACTGGTCTATATGTCTGTTTTTGTGATATTTTCATGCTGTTTTGCTTTCTATAGCTTTGTGATGTAATTATAAATCAGGAAATGTGATCTTTCCAACTTTGTTCATCTTCAGTACTTCTTTAGCTATTTGGTTTTTTTAATGATTCTATAGGGATTTTAAGATTTTTTCCTATTTTTATGAAGAATGCCATTGGAATTTTGATAGGGATTGTGTTGAATCTGTATACTGTTTTGGGTACTATGGATATTTAAGCAATATTAATTTTTCCAATCCATATATACAGAGTATCTTTCTATTTATTTGTGTTGTCTTCAACTTTTTAAATCAAGGTTTTATAGTTTTCAATGCTAAATCTTTCACCTTCTTGGTTAAGTCTATTCCCACTTTTTTATGCTATCATAAATGAGATCTTAAAAAATTTATTCTTAGCACTGCTGTTATTTGTGTATAAAATGCTATGAATTTTTGTATGCCAATTTTGTATCCTGTAACTTTACTGAATTTAGTTATTAGTTCTCACAGTTATTTTTTTTTGTTTTTTTGGTTTTTTTTGGTAAACTCTTTGGGTTTTCTACATATAGGATTATGCCATCTGCAAATAGAGACCATTTTTCTTCTTCCTTTCTAATTTAGATGCTTTTATTTCTTTCTCTTATCTGGTTACTCTTGCTAATACTTCTAGTAATATGTTGAATAGAAGTGGCAAGAGTGAGCATCCCTGCCTTGTGCTGGATCTTTGTGGAAAAGATTTCAGTTTTTCCCTGATGATTATGATGTTAGCTATGAGTTTTTCATAAATGTCTTTTGTTATATTGAGGAACTTATATTGAGGGGAGAGTCTAATCCACAAAGAAGGCTGAATGTAGCTGGTAAATGTGGAAGAAGTGCTAGAGATGAAAATCATCATTTTATATCTACCAAAATAAAGTTTTGTTCAGGCAAGAATCATCAAAGGCTGCTAAATCCCGGGGGATATTTTAATGAGGTACAGGATGTTTGAATGGTCTCAAAGAATCTTCCCATAAAGTGCTTATTATTTGCAAGAGAAATAGTAGTAAATATACAGGAAGAAATGGGATAGCACTTTGGGTAATCAACAGCAGCATCACCAATGGCCGTTTTGTGCCCCCCAGTGTAATATTCATATCTATCATTCCAGTTGTTCAATCCAATTGAAATCCAATTAAAATAGGACAAAAGCTAAGAATATCAAGAGAGAAGTCTCAGAAGAAAGAGGAAAATAAATGACCAAGGGATTCGTTAGAAAGATGCTCACCCTGATGAGTGATCAGGACAATGCAATCAAAGCAATGCAGTACTGATTTTTCTCAAACTGATATTATTTCAATGATCAATGATACTTCATTTGGTAAGAACATGGAGAGAAGTAGGAAGTTTCATACTGTTTGCATGATCGTCACTTGATAATATTTTTGGCGGATAATGTAGTGTTATTTTTCTACATTAAGTATCCTTACCCTTAGACTGAACAATCTCAGGTCTGGGATCCTAAAGATCCCAGATCCTTACCCTTAGACTGAACAATCTCAGATCCTAAAGTATGTCCCTGACTCTATGCACAAGGGCAGTTATTCCAGTTGATTGGAATAGAAAGCAATTAACAACATTGTCAGTTATCTATTGCTGCATATCAAACTATTGCAAATGTAGCAGCTTAAAACAATACACATTTAGTATCTGTTTCTGTGGATTGAGCATCTGGGCAGAGTTTAGCTGGGTCCTCTGCTTAATGGTCTCTCACAGCACATGAAGATGTTGGCCAGGGCTGGGGATTCATCTGAGACTCGAATGTGGGGGGATCCACTTCCAAACTCACATGGTTATTAGCAGGATTCAGTTACTTGTAGGCTTTTGGCCAGAGACTGCCCTTAGTTCCTTGCCATATGGGACCTTCTATAAACAAACGAGAGAAGAGTCTGTTAGCAAGAGACAAGTTACAATGTCTTGTACTCTAATCACAGTAGTGACATCTTATCACTCGCTCCGTTCTGTTGATTAGATGGAAGTCATGAGGCCAGCCCACTCTCAAGGGTAAGGGATTACACAGGGGCATGAATACCAGGAGGTAGGGATTATGGGGAGGGCGTCATCTTAGAGCTTGCCCCATGACAACCCAATGTCCATTCAGAAGGACAAGGTTAAATAAATTATTATGGTAGCACCACACCATGGGAAACACTGGTCATTCATGAAGAGTAATGTCAATATAAATGTGCACAGACTTGGCAAAATTTTCCAAACCTATTTTTCCCCATGTCCCACTCCCCAAACCTATTGTCAAGTGAATAAAACAAGCAAAGCTAGTTTGCAAACAATGCACATATTGTGATACCATTTGTGTGGAAACAAAATATTTTCCAAATGAAACATGTTTATGTGTACATATATATGCATTTATTACAAAGGAAAAAGCCTGGGAGGAGGTATATCTACTCTGTTGATCGTGGTTACCACTGGAAGCTGTGGGTTCAGGGTGGAGGTAGGCATAATGGTCAACATTCTCATTTTATTCCTCATACTTATTGAGAGTTTGACTTTCGCTTTTTGATTTTTTTATGGTGGGAATATATTTACGTATTGCAGATTTTTTTCTAAAATGAACGGAAACTGGGAAGCTGGGGCTTCCCAGTAGTGTTAATTTTTGGAAGTGTAACATGTTATCCCTAAGTGTGTCCTGATTGTGCCTTTTTATTGTGCAGATTTTAGCAGTTTGCCTGATTTTCCATCCCAGCTTTATTTCAGATGTTTCCAACTACACTTGGAACAACGAGGCTAATAAGGGCTTTGTTGTCCTAGACCCACGAGCTGTTCTGGAAGTACAGGAGGAGTGCTGGGCTGTAGCGAGCTGGCAGCTGGATCCTATCGAGCACCCTTCTTTCCCAGACACAAAAGAAGAACCACAGTAGCCACCCAGAGTGGAGTCTGGTGCTGCGGGGCACTTCTGGGAGGTCACAGAAAGGGATGTGGGACAAAGAGTTCCTTTTCGTGGTGTGTCTTCTTGTCAGTTCCATAACCGACTTTGTCATCAGAAGATGAGCCCAGGTTCCCATGGTGGAGGTGCAGTTCAGGAGCCACCGCTCACTGGTGACCCTGGGTGGGCTGCCTCATCCCTCTGTGCCCCAGTGTCCTCCTCTGTAAAATGATGATGGCCGTCCTATCACTCTTCCGGGTTTGCTGTGAGGATTAAATGAGCTGATACAACTGAAGCACTTGGCTTAGTGCCCAGACCATATTAAGCACTCCCGGAAGGTGAACATCTGCTGCCATTGTTGATGTTGTTGTCTATTGTTACTAACAAAAGTTAGCATTTACTAAATCCTTACCAGAGTCCTGTCCCCAGCTCTGTGATCACTGCTTTACATGCATGATCTCATTGAATCCACCCTAACTTCCGGTTTTAATTTTCTCATTTTACAGACAGGAACTCTGAGGCTCAGAGAAAGTCAGTTAGCCTCCCAAGTTCATAAGCTGGGAAGTGATGGTACCAAGATTTGAACTTGGGTCTGTCTGCAAAGCTTCTGCTCTTCACAATCATGCTTTATTGCTTTGTAAGCCTTAACACTCACATTATTTTGCTCTCATGATAATGAGAAAGCTTCATCAGGCACCAGAAGACTTGAGAACAGAATAGAGCACTTAGGAGAGGACTAGCTGGGATTTACTGCTGTAAAGATATGAAAGAAACATGAGGACAAATGGTTGAGTGAAGAGTCAGTGTGGGAAGCTGTTCACAACTTTCTCAGAAACCAATCCATCAAGGAGATCAAAATTAAACAAAGATAAATTGGATTTGACTTCCACAGTTAATTCAGTTGACATGTGTATGTTTGTATACAATCTTTCTACTCAACAGAGAACACTCATTCTTGTCACACACATGGAATTTACAAAAATTGACCAACATTTCCCTTTTCTATGGTAGTGTACTTACAGGCACTGCCACAGAACTATAAGACTCCAGGGAGAATCATTCAGAAAGAGCTTTCTAGAATGTCTGTTATGGTCCATATGAGCTTCTAGATATGGGATATGGTTTGACAGTGTCCCCACCCAAATTTCATCTTGAATTGCAGTTCCTATAATCTCCATGTGTTGTGGGAAGGACCGGGTGGGAGGTAATTGAATCATGGGTGTGGTTTCTCCATGCTGTTCACATGATAGTGCATGAGTCTCATGAGATCTGGTGGTTTTTTAAGTACCTGGCATTTTCCCCCTGCTGCCACTCATTCTTTCTCCTACAGCCCTGTGAAGAGGTGCCTTCCATCATGACTGCAAGTTTCCTGAGGCCGCCCCAGCCATGCAGAACTTTGAGTCAATTAAACCTCTTTTCTTTATAAATTACTCAGTCTCAGGTATGTCTTTATTAGCAGTGTGAGAATGGACTAATACAATATATTGACACACACATCCTATTTTGTGGTAATGAATAGTGGAAATATCTTCCTCATCTTATCTATGAGGCGACTATGGGTTAGACACTAATCTACCAAAGGCATATCATTTGCAAATGGTGGCACTGAGAAGGAAACCTTAGGGGCTTCCTGGTTCCGAGGCACGGCAGCATCCTTCTTCCAATGTTCTGTGCCTGCTCAGGGGGTCAGAGGCTCAGTGACCCCCTTAGTAGGCACAGCACATTAGGCATAGCACATTGGGCACATTTTAGGAGAAAACATTTCTTGAAGCAATTCTTACAAATACCATTCTTCTCCTCAAACTTGTTTTCTGAAATAAAGCCTCAGACCGAGAATGTAAGTCTGATAAGAATGCAAGGCAGACAAAGGAAAATGTCAGTAAGAATGTGCAGAAACTGAGATCCTCTTACCTTGCTGATGGTAATATAAAATGGTGCAGCCATTTTGGAAACAGTTTGGCAATTCCTCAAAATGTTAAACATAGAATTACCGTATGACCCAGCAATTCCACTCCTAAATGTCTACGTAAGAGAATTGAAAACATATGCATGAGTGTTCACAGCAGCGTTACTCATAATAGCCAAAAAGTGGAGACAACCCAAATGTCAATTAACTGATAAATAAATAAGCAAAAGATGGTATATCCATACAGTGGATAAAAAAGAATGAAGTCTTTATCCATGCCACAAAACAGATGCCCCGTGAAAACATTATGCTAAAAGAAAAGTCAGTCAACACAGAAAAGTCAACATACTGTGTAATTTTATGTATGAAATGTCTAGAAGAGACAAATCTATGGATACTGAAAGTAGATTCATGATAGCCTAGAGTTTAGGGGTGGGTGGGATGGGAGTGACTGCTGATGTGTACTCTGTATGGGGTTTCTCTGTGGGGTAATGAAAATGCTCTAAAATTAGATTATGGTGATGGTTAGACAACTCAAAACTACTGAATTGTTCACTTTTGTGAAACTTTTATTGCATGTGAATTATATCTTAATAAAGCTGTTTTTAAAAAGAGAATGCAAGCCTGACTTGCCAAGATGCCCTTCTTTTGAAAACTAAGTGAACAAACATCTGAAATTTGTGTTTTCTGTATGAAAGCATGAGGAACTGGGGGAGATGACTTCCAGGAGACAAATCAGTAAAGACTAGAGAAAGCAGCAGTTGAGCCTTAAAGATTGACAGCCCTTAAATGTGCCTTAAAGAATGAAATAGATTTGGGCATAATAGAAAGGATATTCTAGATGCAAGGAATGGTGTGAGCCCAGCTCTAGAGGGGAAAAGACATGAACAGAAAACATGGGAAAACATTGTTTTCTTCCAACATTGTTTAAATTGAACGAAGAAGACATACTACATTTTAAAATCATGCTAACAAATACTCACAGGTATGAATACCTTTTGGATAATTGTATATTAAGAGTCGAAAAGAAAAATACAAAAAACTTAACAGAAGCTCACTTTACAAGAAATGCTCATAGGTGACCTTTATTCTGTTAAACAAAATATATCAATAATAGCTTCCAATAAGAAATTACTAAATTTGGAGCTACTAGTAATATTTTTATCATTTTATTTTATTATTTTTGAGACAGGGTCTTTCTCTGTTGCCCAGGCTGGAGTGCAGTAGTGCAATCATAGCTCACTGTAGCCTCAACCTCCCAGGCCCAAGCAATCCCCCCACCTTAGCCTCCTGAGTAGCTGGGACTACAGGTGTGCACCATCACACGCAGCCTACTTGAAAAATATTAACCATGAAAACCAATTTAATGCTAGCACATCCACTTTCAGTAATCATCTGATCAAAGAGAAAATATCTTTCTTTGGTTGGGTGGCTCATGCAGGGTTGTCACAAGCAAAGCTGTGCTCAGCTTGATAAAATGGCATGTGGCATTTCTTATAGCAACATTTGCCTTCTTAGAAAAGAACCTTCACATGGCAGGTAGCCAGAGTGATGACTGTCTTGAAGCCCTGAGAAGATTCATTCCAAGTCCAGGGCAAACCAGAAGTCCTTTTATTTATAGAAAGATGTATTAAACATCTTTATCGCTCTCCCTTCTACAGACATCTTGGCAAGCTTCATAGCTTATTTGTTGTCTACTTTTGGTTCTCTGCTCAGAACTTTTATGATTCTCCATGTTAATCAAGTAAAGGCAGCAGTGAAGAACAGAATATCTCAGTCAAATTAAATTCCTACCTCTCTCTAGGACTGGAATAAAGCTCATTAAGTGAAGATGAGTCCTGCTTTTTCAGAAAATGAATCAAGACAGAATACAGATACAGCCACTAGTTAAGAAGAAATCAGTAAGTAACAAATAATAAATGATGAAAAACCTCTAACATGCGGTCATGAGGTCTTGTGCAAGCAGAAAAGCACGTGGATGCCACATAGCCCAGGCAAAGCTAGCTCCAAAGGAGTGAGACCACTCAGTAGACCTAGGCTAAAAGCAATGTATATCCCCTCTCCCCATCAGTATTT